GGGGATCGCCGGCGCGATTAATGTCGTAGATATGTCGATCTGTGCAGAGGTATTGATTGTGAGTGTGCGTTCGCCGTGCTATCGTGAGGCGTGTCCAGTGGCGAATGTTAGGCCGTACCGGATATTGGTAGGTGGGTGCCCTTTTCGGTGTAAGTCGACGGATCAGTTCGCCCTGGAGCCTGTCGTTGTGAAACGATTACAAGACGCGTGACTTGGCCGGGGTACTATGTTCGGTAAGGGGGAGATTCTAATGATTGCGAAAGGTGAAAGTGTCTTTCGGAGAAAACAGAAGTCTAGAAAAAGCGACGTCTCCGATACCTCCTGCCAGAAGACAGACAACCTGTGTCTGTGGCGGGTTTAATGCCCAAGTCAGGCTTTGGGTAGCAATACTGGTGTCCTCAAAGTCTGAACAAGCAAGACCTGCAGCTGGTACCTACTCTATAACACCACTAGCACAACCCAGACAGAGAAAGGCGAGGAAGAAATCCCTGGTTATGGCTTAGGTCTCTTTGTGGCTCTACAATTGAAGGTCTGTATGACTGCATAGGCATTTCCAAGGAGCAAAGCAAAGGTTGCTGGAGGGGTGCATGTCCGACAGTCGTCGACAACGCACATCGCAGCGCCATGTCCGGCTTATGACTCCATCCAGACAGACAGTCTGGTATCCAGGCAAGTCGCAGTCAGCCAGCCGACTGGACTACTCCTACTTGGTTGCAGGCAGAACACGGACGCCAACACAACCATTCCCATGCCGCCTCTGCCTACGTATTAGTCCTAAATGCTCAAGTCCCACCGCTCTGCCCTTTGGGGCTACAGTAATAAGGGCGCCTGCATTAGCCAGCACTCGTCCATGCCCTGAATGGCCTCAATGGTGGGGTCCAGAGGGGGCCAACCCCGGAGCAGCACACCAGACCATGCGAGATCCACCATACAGTATAGGTCTCGACGAGGGCGTCGTCAATGCGCTTCGCGAATGAGGTCACGCGTGGCTCTTCTGCAGCAATACCCCATCGAGGGTACTGTAACTCGCTGCTTGTCTGCACCTCTACTGTTAAGAAGGACGTGGCAGAGCGGTCTGCGGGCCCTTGGCCCTTGATCATCGCTGGACACTTGTTCGAACACAGAGCACCCAGCCCCCATACTATAGTCTCTGCCCATAGGATGAATAGGAGGATGGATAGGGACGGTGTGGGATGCCCTGGACGACCCCTTTCGATGAACGAATAATAACTTAACACCAAAGTCGCCATGGGCTTCGTTCCGGTGCATTTTAAGGAGTTCCGTTGGCGTCTGTGTAGCATCGGGACAAGTTTGAGGGGCGAATATCTTAGTTGGCACCCTGGAACCCCGATATAGTCTTAAGTACTGTACCTAACAAGATGATTCGTGATTCCTCCTGGTTCAAAATTATTTTTATTTTTTATTTCTTTAATCAATTGGGGGCGTTCAGAGAATCAAAATAACTATAATGAGAAATGAAGGGGACATAGTCGTGATTTTCGTAGTACAAGTCCCCATTCGACCACCCCACAGCTTGAAGGATTACTTGCTGTCCTTCTCGCAAGTTGTAGGCAGTTTGATCTCACAATTCGCTAGTTCATGCAAGTGGATTGGCTCGCCCAGTCTCCTCAGAGAGCGCGTGTGGCTGCTTTGACCGTGTGCACTGCCCTGCATGCAATCCTACATTCATTCTAGGCCTAGGTGTGGGAAAACGATACATATCCCTACTTACATTACTGCCTTTCTTATTTGCTAACCCATCAGTACATACATAGTATGTCGAGTAGGACGCGTACTAGGTATATGTAGGTCTCGCGTACATGAAGCGTACCTTGTCTCGCCAGTTATGGTTACTATGCAAGTTGAAGATGAATAACGTGCATTCTGATATGTAGGGTTCTTGGTCATATATGTTGTACATGCGGGTACGAAGTCGATCATAAGTAACGTCGCTATTGTCGCTGAGGGCAGGCCGTCCTACATTTCTACTTTCCGGGGGCGCGTTCTCGTGATAAGTACACTCTACTGAAAGGAGATTTTGATTGTCTAAAGTAGCTTTGGACAGCCAAGCGCCGACGGAATTGGGGACTTTTACGAAAGGATGCCCGTTAAGATGTTTAAGTGCCATATTGGTAGAGCTTGTACGTATGCTATATAAGCTTGGCCACCATTGATTTCCAACTCCAAAAGGCATCGTGAGCCACAGTCCCCCCCCGCCAACGGCGAAGCAAGGGATGAACCATGATAACTCACATAGAGCACCCCTATACACGTGGAAGTAAGAAGCTAAGCATCATAAGGATTTTCCAAGACGGCGCCAGAAGTATATTATCTCCATCATGGAGATAGTAAGACTGGACAGTCTATTGTGACGACAGCTAACCTCGCTGGTGGGGTTTCTCGGCATTACCGGCGATGGGATTGAGAAATCTGGCTGAGCTCCTCGGTGTCAGTACCTCCACAAAGAGCCTCACCGCTCTTTTAACCAAGGGACAACCTCGCAGCGTCATTGCGTTCCAATCTTGAAGATGTCGATACTGACCACGCCACGATCGTATCGTGCTAGGTTCTTTTTGGTAAAGCCCATCTCTAAGATCGTGGCATACCGACCACCGTCAAATTGCGGAGTGACGTGGTTGTGCTTTCTTCGCTCGGAAGAATATGGGTCCCCTGGTTTCACGGGCAGGCTCGCTCTCAGTCGTGGCAGACGGCCGTAGCATTGACATGTCTCGGGACGTTTAGGAGGCAAGATGACTGCCAGACGTTGCTCACTCCTGCCTTCATTCTTGGAGCTGGACTGCACTACGGAACCGAGTATACTCCATGGGCAGCCGGCATATCCGGGTTTTCTGCTGTTCCCATCATTGTGCTGGCAATGAGTCGCCAACCGAAGCACCTCTCGATCAAGCCGGCTGCAGTTTCCTTACATGCGTCTTGCCCACCAAGTAAAAGGCCTCAATGGTAGGTGCTCCGAACTGCCTTTGTTAATGTTCCGGTCCGATATATAAATTGGGGCCCCGATTTCGCAGATAGTTCCGTGGGTAAGAAGGCATTGGGCATTCAGATGACTTCTTCCTGCGAATAGCGAGCTCCCCTGCAGAGAGTATTGAGGAATTTGCATATTGGATAGTGAATTACAAGCTATAAACCTATGTAGGTAGTCAAACCAAGCCTAGACGATGGGCATTAACAAATGTTCTATTCCGATTTCCCTTGTACCACCACCACAGCATACTGAAATTACATACCGATAGAATAGTACAGTGCTGTGGTTGTAACAGACCCAAAACACCGTTGCAGAATCCAACCAATCTGACCATCGTTGACACAGCACCTTACCCCGGAAACCGAAGCCAGCGGAGCATGATACCTAGAATCAGCTTTCCTCATGAATAGTTCCAAAGACACGATCCAGGGATGCTATTATAGCTTGCTCCCACTTCGTCTCCTTCGACACCAAAAGAGTCGAAACGAAGCTTGGTCTTTACCTGTGATATATTAGTCATAAGGCGAAGGAGGACAGCAAAACACATCAAGCCATCCAGAGCCAACGATCGAATATCAGTATCGTTTTGAGTTCGAGGGGACCTGTCAGGCATTCCAGGTACACAAAATTCCGGGGATACTGAGACAAGGCTGGGCGTAAGGTCCAGCTGCGGTTCGACACTTGGGTCCCAACCTACTCAAGGAACACCCGACAACGGTGACGGTAATCGACTGGGTTGCCATTTGTTACGATCATTCGGCCGGGACCCAAACTGATTTTCAGTATTGATCTCGAAGTAGCTCAACACCGTTATTTGAGCTGTGGATCAAGTGATTGCATCTCTTGACAACTTGTCCATCGCAAATTTGAGGAACGGCTGACGAGTATTCAGGTTAGGTATTTATTAATGGTCCCAGATGCCCAGGTCAGAACCCAGGTCCCGGTCGAGTGGATCTTCACAGCCAAGATTTGGCCATGTGCAAAAGCAAAGTGTAACCAGCACGCGGCAGGGACCGTTGCAGGTCCCAAACACCGTTCAACTCCGGCCTGTCGACGTCATAGCAGACCCAACCATGCAGAACAACCCGGATCTAAGCGATCCCACTCCCACGATAAGAAGACCCGGGGCTGGTCAGGCGTTTCATGGAAGGAGATATTGCTCCAGAACTTCATGGTAGTATGACCGCGCCGGGGCACTTGATTAGAGTGGGATCGACGATGGCGACATCGGTGGCCATCGCGACGATCTTTTATCGAGAAAGCACAACGGGAGGGTTGGTGAGGGAGCCGACCTACCTACTTAGTCACCAACCCGCCCACCTCCCAACCCTACCTGTCTCGGGGGACTCGGATGCTGATTGGGCGTAGGCAACCTACTATGTACTGTACTACGGCCTCACGTGGTTGCGCCCTTCACGTGATACGTACTCATCCAGCTTGCTCGGTGAGTTCCGCGCTAGCCGCGAGTCTCCCGAGCCTGCCGTCTCCCAGGATCGGCAGCCCTATGCTGTGCGAGCAGACTTTCAGCAAACTCAAAAATCCGAGTCGACACGGGCTGAGCCGAATGAGTGATCTACACAGGGTGACGCGCGATTAGATCTTTTAAGCTTAAAACACGCGAAATTGATTAGTTGCGCATTTGAGACGATGCGACCAAGTGGCCAGTCAACACGACACTACAGCACGTACCTGCACCACAGTACTGGAGCCCGAATATAAACAATATCTCCGGCCATGCACCTCAGAGATCGACAAAACAACTCTCTGTCGGGAATCTCTTCAAACGAAACGCTCTGCAAGAAAAACATGGATTTTCAAGCTGGGTGTTGGGAACCAGGGAACGGCCCGACGCATTCACTCCGTAATAGTACCGTAACCTACCAACCTAGGTGGATAAGGCAAGCCCACCTACCTACCCATTTGATCTTCCACTCACTGCCTGCATGTGCTTCAAGCATCGGGGAAAAACATCTTGCATATTCCAGGACTGCGCACGAAAAAAAGGGAAGGATGACTCCGAATCGGGGAATCGAACCCCGGGCTTGACGGCACCGATACCCCCCTTCCTACACCTCAGATGAGGGTTAGGAACAACGAGGCAGATGAGAGCGTCAAATGTTAGCCACTACACCAATTCGGAGAAAATCACGGGTATACAGGCGGGATTGAACCGCCAGCATTGGACTCGCGGGGAATCGAACCCCGGACCACTCCCAATTCCTGGTGAGCTTCTCGTGAGAAGACATTCAGATGCTAAGGGAGTATTATACCACTAAACCACAAGCCCCGAGAGGAAGATGAGCTTCCTGTGTGGAGTTGCCGCTTGCTAAAGCGAGATTTAAGCGAGATGTGGCGTTTGCCCTGGTTGCACTGGGCGTTTGGTGGTGCCGCTAATCAAGCACGCCCCAAAATACAGTAGGTAGAGGGTCAGACTACCGGTACAGGACTTTATACCATGCGCCAGTAGATGTTTGTGAGTAGTATCAACCCTCCAAAGAGTTTGCTTTCTGCAAGGAAAGCAGGCAACTTGCACATACTATGTACGCATATCGAACCCCCCAAATTTACAGTGCTACGAAAGCATCCAGTCAACCACTCCAATTAGACTTCCGGATCCTCCCGGTGAGGGGCATCGGTCGCAGGCCATGGCCATTCACCGTTCACCGTCAAACCTCTACTTACTTTGTTGGGTTGCAATCGAGCCATGGGTCTTGATAAGCTCTGTCACCTGAGGCGTGCCGGAGCGCTCGAATCAAGTGCCCCTCCCAGGCAAACAAGATCCTCGACAGTTGCATTCTGCGGTGCTTTCCCCAGTCGCACCGAGGGCAGCGAAAGGGTGGTGGTAAATGCTGCGCGATTGATAACGGGAGTTGGTATTTGCTGGGCGAACGGACGATGCGGGGCACCATCCGCACGCCCGCTCTCTCGGTCTGGTTATATGCCATTCTCGAGGCCAATACTCCAACTGAAATATGCCCATTTGACTCACAGAAGGCGATTGTACTGGCGTCATAGCCCGTGTCGTTTCTTGGTTACATATCAGACTAGAAGGTCATTCTGTTCCCTAGCTCCAAGTAAGTATCTACAGTAGGTTAGGTTGTTAGTATAGTTCGTCAGCTATCTTACTAATACCCTTGTGCGTTCACTTTACACCCAGCTAACATGTGTAAGTACGAATAAGATGATGCAGCATATGTACATAGACTTAAGTACAGCACAGCCAACGACAGCTATGGCACATCCTCTGTCATAGCCGTAGCAGCCGGATCTGTTGGAAATCCATAAATCCATCCACTGCATCACGCCACCGCAGTGCGCAAATGGCTCGATACCCAACTCATGCAAGGTACAACGGGGACGCGCTGCAGCGATGCGCAATCCCGATCCCTGACTGTGCATTTCGATCAACTCACTAAGACAGCAGCGAATGATACGAAAGCTCACGAGCCTCAACAGCGTCGCATACAGGCCTACATTACGTCGGGGTTTACGGGATATAGCAGTGGAAGAGGGTGTGCAACCATGTCAGATGCCTGGTTGACAAGACGAACTACCTGGGTACAGCAGGGGGATGGTCGTTTCCCTTGCTACTGGGGCAGGTATGGAGGTAGGGAACTCGTATCCTCCACCCGGTTTTCCCTTCTGGGCCGCACACCATCTTCATGTACATCATATGCATGGCTCCGTTTTGGGAAGATATCTGCCTCCTCAGCTTCTTTCTTAGCCCAAGATGTGAGTCTTCGCTCCCTGCGACCTGTGGTTGATTCACGGCAATAAGCAGTAGACCGCCGCCCCTCGCAGCACGCCCTTCGCGTCTGTGGGGTTTTCTAAGATACCGTACCCTTCTTGACAGCTGAGTGACCGGGATGACCACCACCACCACCTTTGCCCACGAACCCACAAGGCAGCTTCTTTGGCCGACAGGTGACTAACCGGAGCACCAGCCACTTTCCTGGCATATGCCTTCTGCCTATGGTGGAATTTATATATACCCGGCCTCGCCCGCCGTCTTTTCTCTTGATGTGCTGCTCTGACTGATCACTTTCGACTTGAGGTTTTGACTTCTTTCCTTCTGTCACATTCACTACACTAGTTCCCTTTGAGCCGGCTTGGGCCCGGCACCTTTCAGAAGGTCCAGATTCGAAGGAAGAGTGGCCTTTCTTCCAACCTGTGAACAATTTAAGTTATCCTGTCTTGAGATGAATACCTGGGAGCCTGCCTTTCGCTATTAAGGACCCTTGCTCTATCAAGCTCTACCAAGCTCTACCATAATCAACCAACATGCCTCTCTCACCATCGGATGCGCTGAATGCAGTGCACCGACAATCATGGCCGCCCAGCGGTTTATGGCCTTCAAGTCCCAGCCGAATTCCACCGGCACTCGACGAGGACAAGGATGGCCTTTCCACAGATGACGAGGACATCGACAGCTCTTCAAGGCCCGAGAATCCTCTCAAATATTTCTTAACACCCGCAACTCCGGGAGATGAGGAGTTGGAATTCGAGTTCGACTTTGATGCTGGCATCGAGGACTCAAACAGCCCCCGCCATATTGTCCGGAGCGTGAGTCCTTCGACGCTCGATGGACTCAGGCGGTACAAGGCCAAGAAGGAGGCAGATTGCGCCATCCTAGACGACGACGATGACGATGACGATGAAGAGGAATACATACGGTTTAATTCTCACAAATCACTACCTTTTGGCCTAGACGACTACTTCGATCACCCTCGACACAGCTCTCCCAACCAGGGCATGTCTCGAAGCGCCGAAACTCTACTATCACCATCCTCATTCCACGTTGGATCGCCCAGAGGCCGCCTAGCCAAACGCTTCGCCCCGCCACCTCGACGTGCCAGCCTTCGAGGTCGGCCTACCGCCCGTACGCTACAGCGGCGACACTCATGGCGCGAACCCAGTCCGGACGTCTGGTCCATCGACGAAGAACCCGAGAAGGAAACGATGAGCGAGATGGGGCTGAGCATCGAGGATCTCGACGACGGCTCGGATAACAAGACTCAACCTATAGATATACCGGCTGCAAAGCCCAGGAAGAAGGTCCGGTTCGTGTTGCCGGTTAAGGAGTTGTGATTTATTTCTTGCACCTCATTTACTTGCATCTTTCCTGGAGTTTGATCTAATGCATGGTTACGGAGTTGCGGTTTCCTTAGATTTTGTCTATACCTCTCCTTTCGGCGTCATGGTCCCTACATCACCACTGTTCACCGGCTACCCACATCATCGTTACTTTTCCATATAGCATACGGCCCTTAGCATATTTGGCGTCTGGACAGGGTGGCCTTTTTTTTTTTCCTGGTTTCCAGGAGGCTTGGGCATTAGTGGTAATACCTAGGCACTTTCATATTCATAGCTTTAGTACACGTCAAAAGATACATGAACCCCTCTAAATTGAACATTAAACCCCCATGACTCGTTCCTTTCCCATCAGTGACTGTAACTATTCCCTCATTACCTTATCGCATCTAAAATCCCTACTCCTTCCTTCATCATAATACTCGTCCATGCTCGTGCTCGCAAACAATACTTCATCTACCCACATCGGTGATCCCCGAAGACTTGTAAGCCCCCCCTCCCCCCTTCGCAAGTTTTCCTCCCGACCCGTCAGCACAAAAAAAAACTTCGCACATTAAGCGACTAACAACAACAATAAAGTGTAAGCGATAGGATAGGGTAGGGTAGGGTTGGTTTGGGTAGGGTAGGGCGCGTAAGCCACAAGCCGAACAGCACCCGATCAGCCCCGAGACTCGGTGCCCCGTCGGACCGCGCAAGAATTCTAGCTATCCTAGCTATTGTACAGTACGTTCTGCGTTTGCGTGGTATGTGTGTGTGTGTGTGTATGTGTGTTCACCGCCGCGTCTTACGCAAGCCCACACCCGGGGGGGCGGGGGC